AGAAGCTGCAGGTGGCTTTTTGAAACAAGGCCCATTGACCAGTTTGATGAAAGTATTCATAAATTTCAGATAATTAGAGGAATATCTGCTCAAGAAATACAAACTGGCAACGTGAAATCTGCTAAATGGTTGTTTGAAACCCAACCTCTTGATTCAATTAAATATTTTAATAACGTGGAAGAGACAGAAAGTAAAACTGAGCAAGCTACAGATATCATTAAAGGGGATGTCAAAACCTGCAAATGGCTTTTTGAAACCCAGCCAATGGAGTCTCTTTATGAAAAAGTTTCATTACAGACGGGCACTGAGGAAATTTATAAGGGAGATGTCAAAACCTGCACTTGGCTTTTTGAAAATCAGCCACTTGATACCATTAAGGATGACTCTGAAACAACAGTCAAATCACAAACTGTAAAACAAGAAGAGATCCAGGGTGGGGATGTTCGTACAGCATGTTTTCTTTTTGAGACAGAAAATTTGGACAGTATACAAGGAGAAGAAGGGAAGGAAATCAAGCCTGTGGAAATGGAGATACAAGCTGGAGATGTTTCCAGCATGAGATATAAATTTGAAAATCAGTCCTTAGATTCTATAAGTTCCAGTTCAGAAGAAGTTTTGAAAAAGATCAAAACCCTAAAAACTGAAGACATTCAGAAAGGCAATGTTTTAAACTGTAGGTGGCTTTTTGAAAACCAACCAATCGACATGATAAAAGAAAGCCAAGAGGGGGATGAATCGCTTAAGACAGTGACAGACATTCAAGGTGGGGATGTAAGAAAGAGGTGCTTTATTTTCGAGACTTTTTCTTTAGATGAGATTAAAGAAGAATCTGACTATGTCAGCATCAAGAAAACAACTACTGAAGAAGAAATAAAGGGGGATGTAAAAAGCTACAGAATGCTCTTTGAAACCCAGCCACTCTATGCAATTCAAGACCGAGAAGGGCACTATCATGAAGTGACAACAGTTAAAAAGGAAGAGGTGATTCATGGGGATGTGCGGGGGACAAGGTGGCTTTTTGAAACGAAACCCTTAGACTCGATTAATGACTCAGAAACTGTGTATGTTATTAAATCTGTCACACAAGAAGATGTTCAGAAGGGTGATGTTAGTTCAGTCAGATACAGATTTGAAACCCAGCCACTGGATCAGATTTCAGAAGAATCACGTAACATTGTGCCCACTGTTGACAATATTCAAGGTGGTGATGTAAAGACAAGTAAACAATTTTTTGAGTCTGAAAATTTTCGAAAGAAGAATTACATAAGGACAGTAAGTGTCAATGAAATACAAAAGGGCAATGTTAAAACATCTACTTGGCTATTTGAAACCCACACTATAGAAGAGCTGAGAGGAGAAGGGTTGGATGACAACAATATCAAGACAGTCACCCAGGAGGATGTGCAGAAAGGTGATGTTAAGCAGGCGGTATGGCTTTTTGAAAATCAAACTTTGGATTCTATCAAGGAAGCAGATGAAAGCATCACGAAAATTACCAAGGAAGAAATCCCTCCTTCTGATGTCAAAACAACTACATGGCTCTTTGAAACAACACCCCTTCATGAATTTAATGAAACTAGAGTAGAAAAGGTAGAAATTATTGGCAAGAGCATCAGAGAGACCTTAGAAGATCTCTACTCTCAAAAAGTGATCCAGGCTCCTGGAATTATCATTGAAGCTGATGAAGTTGGAGATGTGCGAATGGCAAAATACAAGCTAATGAATCAAGCATCTCCTCAGATACAGAAAGAAGAAATTGTCAGGGTCGATCTCAGAAACATAATGGTGAACCTACTTTCCAAAAGAGACTGTACCAAAAGAGAGATTTTGGTTAGTGAAGAAGAGAAGGGAAACGTTAATTTGACTAAAACTCAGTTATTAAACAGATCAACTGAATTTCACACTGAAAAAGAAGAGATAGTGAGAGGTGATGTACAACAAGCAATAAAAAATCTCTTCTCTGAGGAAGGATCTGTAAAGAAAGGCATTGTAATTCAGGAAGACGAAAGAGGAGATATTAACATGACTATTTATTGTCTTCTTCATGAAAATGATGGTGACGCAATTGAGCGTGAAGAAGTAATAGGGGGTGATGTAAGACGCACCATTCACAATTTACTATCATCTTCATCAAACAATCAAATATCTGAAAGAGCTAAAATTGATGCCTCTGAGAGAGGAAATGTTCAGTTTTTCACAACATGCATAGAAACTGGCGCTTTGGATTATCTCAGACAACTTCAGACAGGATCAGATGAAACTCTAACACCTAGGAAACAAGAAAAAGAGGAAGAAATAATTGGCGGTGATGTGGAAGGCACAAAACTGTTACTACAGAAAAGGCAGTCTCTGGTTGAACGTACTGTGAGTGAAAGTGACATCATCCCGGGAGATGTGCAGAATGCAGTTAAGGTTTTTATGACAGAACCTCAGAGTACATCTGATAAGATACCCCAAAAAGAAATTATAAAAGGTGATTTGACATCAACCCTAAATTCCCTCAGACAGGCCATAAATCAGAAAGCAGTGACTAAAACAGAAGAAACCATAAAAGGGAACATGCTAGCCACACTCAAGTCACTCAAAGAATCAAGCCACAGTTGGAAGGAATCTAAGCAGCCTGTCATACCTGGTGATTTTGAGCAAGCTATTGAATGCCTTGAAAAGGCTGCAAATACAAGGACAGAAATCTTGAAAAAGGAGCTTATCCGAGATGACCTTGAAACATCATTAAGGTCTTTGAAGGAAGCACAAAGTAGTTTCAAAGAAGTAGATAAAAAAGTTATAAGCAAAGATGTTCAAGCCATGATGGTAGGATCTTTAGACAAGCAGGAGACAGAGATGCACCAAGTAGCTGTTCAGACAGACAAAAAGAATCTTCTTCAGCCAGGGCCAGGACCATTTGAGCCAGCAGCCACGTGGCAAGGGGGATCAGCCTCTCCCAGTCAAACTTTGGGAAAATCTGGTCATGGAAAGTTAGTAGAAGAAAGAACTGAATTTAAACTCCCAAAAGCCCCCAAAGGCACTGTAAAGGTTGTCATAAATCGTGAACAAAACAAGGATGCTCTTGAGAAAAGCCTTAGAGGACTATCTACCTCACATGACAAAGCTATTAAAAACATGTTGGAATCAGGAGATAGCATGGGTGTCTGGACTGATACCACAAAGGGACAGCATCTTAGTGATGAGTATATGAGCAGACAATTAACGTCAACTGGGTCAGTTAAGACAAATCTAAAAACTGAAGAGTCAGACAGAGTGAAAGAGCTAAAAGAAGATCATGTTGATGTCCTTACCTCTACCCAATCTATTGATAAAACAGCTGGAAAGCAACAGACCCAAACCTGTGATCTGAGGAATGACCACCAGAAAACTGAGGCTTTCCAGGTAAATAATTCCAAAAAGACCAAAACCATTGAAATATCAACAGATACACAAAGCTCCAAGCCCAGTCCCACCCAGCATCCAGTCAACAAGCCAGTTGGAGAAACTTACGAAGCTGCAAGGGACTTTCAGAAGAAAGCTTTGTTAAAGCAAGAAATGCAATATTCTAAGAAGGAAATAAAGAAAAATAATGTGAACCTTCAACCTATACAGCAGCCTTTGCTTGTAGATCAAGACATATCCAAGGTAACAGAAGTAAAATTCTCTGAAAAAGGCCAAAATAAATTTAAGACAACTGATAAAAAGCAAGAGACTGACATTTATTTGGAAAGCCAAGATTTTCTAATGAAGACAAATACTTCCAAAGACTTAAAAATGGCAATGGAAAGGTCCTTTAATCCAACCAACTTTAACCCTGAGAATGATGGGAAAGATAGTGAGTATCCCCTTCCACCTCCATCTCCACCTCCTCCGCCACCATCTAATGCATCATCTGAAATTGAATTTCCTCTCCCTCCTCCACCACCTTTAATGATGTTTCCTGAAAATGATGGCTTTCCTCCCTCGCTGTCCACAGAGAAGATAAAGCCTGAGTTTGAAAGCCTCCCAAGCCTTCCTCTCCCTCCACCTCCAGTAGATGAGAAATCAGAAACAGAATGTCCATCAGTGTTTCTACCACAGCCTCCTCCTTCAACTCTATCTCAAAAATCAGCACATCTCCTTTCTTCCTCTGTTCCAGAAAAGCACAGTGGAACATTCCTACAACAGTATTCCCAAAAAGAAGCCTCGGGCTCTCAGCACACTCATTTTCAGGCTAACATTGTAAAAGGAAAATCAGGTGTGTTGCCACCACCCACATTGCCCAAACCCAAACTTCCAAAGCATTTAGAAGATAAAAAGAACCGTCCCTCCCCACATTTTCAATTGGAAAATTCCTTGTCAGACATGGAATGTACAATCACTGCCTCAAATGATCAGAAAAGAGTCATGCTGGCCACCAGCAGTGAACACACGGAGACAAAGCAGAACATATTTAGGAAGAGTCTTGAGGAAAGAAAGCAATTATCTATCGACTCTGCAGAATCTCTCTCACAAACAGTTCCAGGAACCTTGGAAGCCAAGAAAAAACAGGTAGCACCTCTCATAAAATCTCACTCATTTCCAGTGAGTTCAGGACCACAAAGTCCGAAACCTTATCTGAGAAAATTTAAGACACCTTTAATGATTGCTGAAGAAAAATACAGACAACAAAGACAAGAGCTTGAAAAACAAAAACAGGAGAGTTCATACTACAACATAGTCAAAACAGAAAGCCAACATCAAAACATACCAGCCTCGCAAAAGGAAATTCAAAAAACAAATAAGGAGGTTCTCCTACATGAAACTGACTCAGCATGCACTGTGATACAGCCCGTCCCAACCTCTCAAAGTAATGCTCAAGCATCAGGAGTGCGTTCTGATAGCCAGGTCTCTACAACGTCAGCAGTCACAGACACTGACAAGAGGTCCCAACATGTTCTAGCTACCTCAGAAGACAAAGATTATAGGAAAAAGGAAGTTTTACAGAGCTCAAGGGATATGATGCAATCTAAATCAGCTTGTGAAATCAAGCAGATTCACCAAGAATGTAGTACACGACAGACACAACAGAAGAAGTATCTGCAGCAGTTGCACCTGCCCCCAAACAAACCAGTTTCCCCCACTTTCAAAGTCAAAACCATCAAGCTCCCAACTGGAGAGCATACAGTAAGTGAAGCAGACCACATCCATGAATGTCATACCAAACAATCCGAAGTTGACGTCCAAGCCATTGCCAAGCAACAGTACCAGGAAACCAGGCAAACTGAAGCAAGCACCAAATATAGTAATAAGCAGTCTGTGGCTGAAAAATGTTATCAGTTACCCAAGAAGGAGAAAAGGGTGGTGATAAAAGAGCCTACAGAATCCACAGAAATGGACCAGGAAAGGAAGCCCAAGATGGTTCCTGAGAAGCCAGGGGAATCTAGAGAATTTGAGACAGGGAAACTTCCAGGAAGTGAAAAAATAAACCAGGGACCATCCATGACTGGTTTAAAAGAAGAGAGATTAATAGTTGAAAGAAAACAAGAACCTTGGAAGAGTAAGTCAGCACCAAAGGTCGTCAGGCAAAAGGTTATTGATGTACGTTCTGATTCAGAGACTCAGAATTTTCAGCAGACACGAGTACAGACTTCTGAAAGTAAAGTTGAACATAAAACATTGCCCCAGCCATGCAATAGTCTGTGGGAAGAAAAATGTCTCGGAGTCAAGGGCATACAACAGAGACAAGTCTTCTCTAACACTAAAGATTCAAAGCAAGAGATTACACAGAACAAATCTTTATTTTCATCTGTGAAAGTATCCCAGCAGGATGACGGAAAACGTCCCGTCAATGTATTGGAATTCTTGAGAAAACGTGAAGAACTGCAACAGATTTTGTCGAGGGTAAAAGAGTTTGAGGCAGAGCCAAAAAGTGGCCTTAAGATATTCCAGACACTATTAAATATGATCCCCGTATGGCTGATAAGTGAAGAGAAACGAGAATATGGAGCTCGCATTGTCATGGAGAATAATTTAGAAAAAGTGAAAGAAGAAATAACCCACATTAAAACTCAAGCAGAGGAAATGCTTGTGTCCTGTGAAAACGTCATTCAAACAGCCATGATGTCCTCCAAAACAAAAAAGCAAGGAAATAAGCCTACCGCTCCCAGTGAAATCTCTCACACAGTATCTAACGTTAATGTCAGCTATAATAAAGACGCTGAACAGAAAGAAAATGCAATGGCGGATGCCAAAACAGTCCACCACCAAGTGTCAACTCGTCACGAGGCCACTGTTGAGACGCATGCGAAAACCCAGCAGGCAATTCAACTCCATGAGAAGATTTCTCCTCCCTGTATAAAAACCCGCCCCCCATCGCCTACTTTTATAACAATTGAGTCAACCGCCCGCCGGGCAGAAACCTCTGCTAAGAACGAGCTCTCTCAGTCCCCTAAAAAGGACAGTTGCATTGAACCCCCAGCAAGAGGGCCCACGTCACAAACAGCCAGAATTCACGCAGCAGACGCCTCTCCTCCTCCACCCAGGAGTCGCTCAGAACAACTTGTCAAGCTGAAAGACACCACTGCCAAGTTATCCCAAGGGGCCATCCCATGTCGATCAGTGACCCCCGCGCCGATTCCAGAGAAGAGGTCTGAAATCATCGTGTCGCCCGCAACGCTTCGTCGTCAGATTCAGATAGAAACTCGAGGTAGGGACTCTCCGCCTACCATCACAATACCCGTGGGCGTGAATCATGCTGCCAGCGGCTCCTTCAGAGACTCTATGCAGGCTCAGGAGGCAGTTAGGAAAGTAGAGACAAGAGCCACCTGTGTTCACAAGGATGGGGTGGATCCCAGCGACCCCCCGCTGCCGGGTACCCAGAGTTACGAGGCCGTGGAAATCGTGCGCCAGGTTGGAGGGCCTCGCCGCCCCGAGCACACGCAGAGATACGCAGCAGCCAACCGAACCATTGAGGCGGCTGAAAATTTCATAAATGACCGTGAAAATGAAATAAACAGATGGTTCAGGGAATTTGAAAATGGCCCAGTTTTTGAAGCAAAGTCAAACAGAAGAGTTTATGTAAATGGAGAAGCAAACCATAATATAAAACAAGAAAGCCGTACATTTTGTAAGGAGGAATTTGGACTAACATCTTTAGGAAACACTAGTTACACAGGCTTTTCTTGCAAACATCCTAGAGAGGCGCAAGAAAAACTTTCTGTGAAACAGCCCCAGGTCTGCACTGAAACTAGGTCTCTAAGTGAACATTTCTCGGGCGTGGATGCGTTTGAGAGTCAAACTGTCGACTCAAAGATGACAACCTCTTCCCATAACTCCGAAGCTGGCAAATCCGGCTTTGATTTTAAGTATGCCCCACCAACCTATGAAGATGTCATTGCCGGCCATATTTTAGATATCTCTGATTCACCTGAAGAACTCAGGAAAAATTTTCAGAAGACATGGCAGGAGGGTGAAAGCGTTTTTAAAAGTCTGGGATATGCAGCTTCAGATGCTTCTGCATCTGACATGAGAACCACCTTCCAAGAGGAATCTGCATTTATCAGTGGTAAACGTGCCTGCCAAGCGTGAAAGATTAACTATTTAACCGCATGTGCTCCACAGCCAAGATGAGTCGCAGTTAACATTGTATGTAGACATAACCACACAATTTAACCTAAAACTAATAGCTTCTCCTGTATGCTTGTATCTTCTTTATATGTTTGCTTTTATTACTTTCTTTACAAAAGCACCTAGTTTGACTTACCTGCACCGTGTGAGAATAACAAATACCATTATATAAATTATGAAGACTTATACTTGTCATGGCAAATAAGCTTTAAGATAGAGCATTAGCTATGGCCATAATTGCTATCGAAATAATTATATATACTTGTAGTAGATAATATTTATAGAACATACCACATTATTAATACATCTTATTAATAGTTATTTCGTGCAACTGTTTCAGACAATATTAGATAATATCTCTTGAGCTAATATTGGCGTGTGTTTGGCTGCTAGACTTAAATGGTCTTTGCATTGAGTTTAAAATAGATTGTTAATAATCCAAGAAACAATTTACTCTCTTCATAGGCTCTTTAAGGATTTGTATTGTTCCCTATGTCCAGCTAAAGTGTTGGTGTGGAATTAGACCTTTATGTATTTAATTGAGTTGAATAGAGTTAGCTTCCTCTGATGCACATTTTCTCCTATGACTGATTCTTTTCACCTTTCTGAAAATAAACCCTTAATGACAGCTCCGTTGACCTCATTCACGGATGAGCATCAATAATACATTTTTAAAATTCTATTATATTTGATAGAAGGGAGATTTAAATCATATGACCTTAGTACTTATCTTTTAACATCAGAGAACAGATACTTTTTCCAATTAATGAGGCTTCTTGATAGAAGAATTTGACATAATGTGCTTTGTTAGTGTAGCCCATTCTTTTAGACAGACTGAAAGAAATAGCAAGCTGAAAAACAAAAACAGCTGAAACTAATAATTATGCCTCTATCCTATTTGCAACATATGTATCTAGTTTATCAAGTTAATATGGTTCTTAACACGCGAGTATCTGGCATAATTAAGCAAAGCTGTCTAATTAATTCAAATGCTCAATTTCTGTTACGAGAGCTCAGAAACACATAAGAAATACAAAGAAACTGGTGTCGAATATAAACATGTCTCATCTACTAGAATCAAAGAAGCAGAGTCCTCTCAGTGGCCCAGACTGAGCACTTACATGCCAAAGTATATACAGAGGGTGCCAAAAAATATATACAAATTATAAGACAGGAAAAATTGTGTTAAATTGATAATGCTCAAGTCTAGTTTGATTTCTGCACTTATAAGCGATAATAAGATGCACTATACAAGATAACAAACGTCATCAGTATATACTGAATGTTACAATTTTAACACAGTTTTTTCCTTTCTTAAAATGTGTATACATTTTTGGCACTCTCTGTATATTTATTTATACAAAGTACCCCGAGGCTATTTGCACTTATTTATTATCGATATCCTAGCTTAGTTATTCTTGCAGGATCATGGTAATGATCAAAAACAATACAGACAGAAAGAAAAGTCTGTGTTAGTTTTGAACTGTTATACAAATACTGGTTAGTAATCTAATAACTGTTATTCATAGCATAGGCACTAAAGTGGCAGGAGGTACTGTGGGGACTTCAAAGCAAGAAAAGTAGGAAAACTATGAAAAGAAGTCCAAAGCCTCTAAGTCATCAAGAAAATATTTAAACAAGTACAATGTCAGGTGGTGCCTGTGGCTCAAAGGAGTAGGGCGCTGGCCCCATATGCTGGAGGTGCTAGGTTCAAACCCAGCCCTGGCCAAAAAAAAAAACAAGTACGATGTCCTTGACTTAAAAAGATATGTGTATATTTTAAGAAGACTTAAAATATTAAAGCTTTGGGCCAAGTTGGGTGTAAACCTTTACATAATGGGACGTTCAGCTGTCTAGGATGGTAAGTTTTCTCCAAGTTCTCCATGGCTGAGTTTGAGTATATTGCTCGACATATTAATTTAATGAACATATTTCATTTGTATATTTTCTTAAATAATGAAAGTCTGCTTGTATACCATATAAATAGCAGCAGCAGTAGGTAATGTCAGTCATCCTACCTGAGCCTCAAACATGACAATGGGACAGCTTAACTCCAGAGAAGCGATGTAAAGAAAACAGTCTATAAGATTTCTCCACTTTAACTGCATGGCCACTTAGTATGTTTTGTATTGTTGTGTTTTGTTTTTGCAATATGATTGACGATAACACTATATAAGCCTTTGTAAATTTTTATTTTCAGAAACTGCCGCTTCAAGACAAAGAAATATGTATACTTTGTCAAAAAACAGTTTATCCAATGGAGTGCCTAGTAGCAGACAAGCAGAATTTTCATAAGTCCTGTTTCCGATGCCACCACTGCAGCAGTAAACTAAGGTAAATGTTTTGTGGTCTGTGGCACAAATATTCAAGGACAATGAAATGTACATCTAGCATCACGTCTCTAGGAAGGTGGGAATTGTCCCAGCCTTTAGGTAACACGGCCTCAGAAGGGGGCGTGCTCATGTTGTGTTAGGTATTGCTCAGGATGGCTGTGACCTTTGTCCTTTTGGAATTTTGCTTCGCTCATCAAATCCAACAGGTCCTTTTTGTCCAGACATGGAAATCACATGAATAAGAAAAATGAAGAACTGTGCAAAAGAGGATTTTTAAGTTAGTACTAATGTTTAGGCTTCAGATCAGGAGTTGGCAAAGGTTTTTTGTAAAGAACCAGATAGAAGGCTATGCAGGCCACTCCACCTCTGCCTCTGTCACTATTCAACTTCTGTTAGGGTACAGTAGCAGCCAGTTGTCTACACAGCAGACAATTAAATGAATGAATATGGCTATAAATGAATCAGCCTGGCTATGTGACAATAAAACTTAATATACCAAAACATGTGGTGAGTTAGAACTTGCCTATGTTTGAGCTAGACTAGACTATAGAACTTAGAGTAATATCATATCACTGACAGCTCTGGGACAAACTCTTGGTTTTTGTCTGGAGCAATGGAAGCACCCTGTCTACATAGTTACAAACACACTCACTCATTTTCCAAAACTCCTGAAGTAAACACATTTAAATGAATGTGACATTTGGTGTGATTATAGTCTGAGAGTCTGAAATGGATTTTTTTCCCCCTAAATCTAATGTGCATCTCTCAGACTATATATTTCTTGACTTTAATTGACAATGTCAAGCACCCCTCATGGCCACATTCTTTTCCCTTAGTTTTCATCACCACAGGGTATAATGGTTTAACCCCCCCTCCTACCCCTCCCTTACTTTCTTGGTGCTCTTCAGGACCCTGTGTAGTGACTCTTTCTCTATTATGAAGATGTTGACGTTCCTCAGAGGAATTTATTCTTCCCCTAGCCCAGATGTCTCCTATATGCCTCATATGTTTACGTCTTAATGACTAGTATGTTTCTCCAGTGAGTTTTCTCCATAAGGCCAGTAAAGTCAATATGCCCTGTTTTCCTCTCTCCACCAAAATTTCTTCTTTGATGGTGTAGTCTGTGTACCATTGTCTAGTCAATGACATTTACATTAACTCAAGGGCCAGAACATAAAGTTCTATCTGACCCTTTCCTGTCTTTCATTTTCTACATCCAGGCCATCACCAAGTTCTGTAATTTCTATCTCATAAATACCTCTTGAGCTGTCACTTTTCTCCATTTCCATAGCAAACACCCAGGGTTCATCTCTCACATGTACTAATGCAGCAGGCTTTCTATCTAGTTGGTCTCCTACCTCCAGTATTTCTTAACTCCACCGCACCACCACCACCACTTTGTCCCAATGCTGTGCTCCATAATGCCGTCAGAATGATCCCTGTAAAACACAATTGCTGTTTAAAACATAATCACTTCTCCTATCCAAAAGAGAAAAAAAATCATCTAACATGTAGTATAAATTAAAAGGCAGTTCAAGTTCTGGTCCTTACTTCCCTCTCAACATTCCTGCCACTCCTACTCCCTCCCATTTCTGTGTAACTTTTCATACTAACAACTTCCAATTCCTCAAGGATCGTTTTCTCCTCTTACATCTAACTGGTCCCAAATGTCATTCCCACTCCTTGTAAGTTTCCCATACCCCTCCTCTAGGTCTCCACCAGGCTCATATCCATCATTCTTCAAACCTGAATCGAAAGTGTATCTTCTAAGAAGCTTGCTTGACCCAGTCTATGGGTCGGGGTCCTGCCCGTATGCTCACAAAGCATCCTCTGTGCTTTCTCCACATCTTAACACATTCCAATGTCATTGCCCTAACCTAGGAACTATATTGCTGTTCACCTTGCCAACAGCTAGTAAAGGCTAACATATAATAAGGTCTCAAAAATAGTAATTTGACATAATTATAAAATTATACATTGCACCAAAACATAGACATAGAAAATCACATAAGCTAAATGCATGCCTCAATAAATTCTTACAAAATGAAAACTTTGTAACTTATACAAAGTTAAGAAATAGAACTTTGCCAGCCACTCCAGAGACCCCTATCAAGTACCCCCTCCCAAACAACTGACTATTTCTCCACCAGGAGGAAGTGGCATCTTTTTCAATGATCACTCGCTTATATTTTTATTGTTATCTAAATGTGCCTTTCTTAATACTATACTTCAGTCTTGCCCATTTAAAAAAAAAAGAAAACTTCAACATGTCTGTTAATTCTTCTTGAATCTATAAGTTTCCCCTCCATTTAGTTTATTCCTTCTGGTTTATTAGTGAAGAACCCGGACATTTGACCTGTAGAGATTTCCAGAACCTGGATGCAATTCAGCAGGCTTCCTACAAGTTGTCAGCTCTACCAAGATGCAGATTTGGTACCTTTACCAAGAATATAGTGTTGTTGATAGTACAAATAAGCACATAATGTCTAGTGATCTCACATTTTGTGAACATAACAAATAACGCTTGATACCTATACTGATCTATAGATGTTTGCAAAATACCAATATTCTTTTTTTTTTGTTGTTTTATAGTTGGGGATTCACTGAGGGTACAAATAACCAGGTTACATTGATTGCATTTCTTAGATAAAGACCCTCCTATGATTACCTCCTACCCCCAAAAGGTGTGCCACACACAGTGACCCCTTCACCCCTTCCCTCCTTTCCTTTCTCTGCTCTCCCCTTCCACCACCACACCACCAAGTACTAGGTCAATAATGGTCCTCATATCAGAATTGAGTACGTAAGTTTATTACTTTCTCCATTCTTGTGATGCTTTACTAAGAATAATGTGTTCCACTTCCATCCAGATTAATACAAAAGATGTAAAATCTCTATCTTTTTAATGGCTGAATAGAATTCCATGGTATACACGTACCATAGCTTGTTAATCCATTCCTGGGTTGGTGGGCATTTAGGTTGTTTCCACATTTTGGCTATTATAAATTGAGCTTCAACTAACAGTCTAGTGCAAGTGTTCTTATGGTAAAAGGATTTTTTTTCTTCTGAGTAGATGCCAAGTAATGGGAATGCAGGATCAAATGTGAGGTCTAGTTTTAGTACTTTAAGGGTTCTCCATACTTCCTTCCAGAAAGGTTGTATTAGTTTGCAGTCTCACCAGCAATATAAAAGTGTTCCTTTCTCTCTATGTCTATGCCAGCATCTGCAGTTTTGAGATTTTGTGATGTGGGCCATTTTCACTGGGTGGTTTGATATGCATTTCTCTAATAATTAGGGCCAATGAGCATTTTTCCATATGTTTCTCAGCGTTTTCTCTGTCTTTTTTAGAGAAAGTTCTATTCATCTTTCTTGTCCAGTGATTTAAGGGATTGTTGGCTCTTTTTATGTTGATTAATTTGATTTCTCTATAGATCTTAGTTATCAAACTTTGGTCTGATTCAAAATACGAAAAATTTTCTTTCCCATTGTATAAGTTGTCTATTTCCTTTGGTTGTTTGTCTCCTTAGCTGTACAGAAGTTTTTCAGTTTAATTAAGTCCGATTTTTTAATTTTTGTTGTTGCAATTACTGTGGAAGTCTTCCTCATAAAGTCTTTCTCCTCCCCTTGAGGCTGATAGCTTCAAGTGTTTTCCCCACACTCTTGAGAATTTTTGTTGTTTTGTGCCTTAGATTTAGGTCTTTTATCCATCTTGAATCAATTTTTGTGAGAGGAGCAAAGTGTGGGTACAATTTCATTCTTTTACATACCCAGTTCTCCCATCATCATTTATTCAATAGAGATTCTTCCCCCAGTATATATTCTTGTTTGGTTTATCAAAGATTAGGTGGTTGTAAGATGTTAGTTTCATCTCCTGATTTTGTATTGGGTGACAGACGTCTATGTCTCTATTTTTATGCCAATACCACCATGTTTTAATCATTATGGCCTTGTAGTATAGCCTAAAGTCTAGTAGGCTGATGCCCCTGGCTTTGTTTTTATTACTAAAGTTTGCCTTGGCTATATGGTTTGTTTTTATTTTTTTGGGGGGGGGGTTCCGTACAAAATGAAGAATTATTTTTTTCAAATCTTGGTAGTATAAAGTTTGTATTTTAAATCTGGCATTGAATTGCTAGATTGCTTTGGGAAGTATAGAATTTTTAACAATGTTGATTCTTCCTAGCCATGAGCATATTTTCTTCCATTTGTTGATAAATTCTGCTATTTTTTTCCTTAAGGTTTTATAGTTTTCTTTATAGAGGTCCTTCATGTCTTTTGTGAGGTATTTCATTTTCTTTGAAGCTACTGAGAAGGGAATTGTGTCTTTAATTAGCTTCTCATCTTGGCTGTTATTGGCATATAGAAAGGCTACTGATTTGTGAACATTGATTTTATATTCTGAGACATTACTGTATTTTTTGGTCACTTACAGGAGTCTTGTGGTTGAGTCTTTAGGGTTCTCCAAGAATAAGATCATATCATCACCAAAGAGGGAGAGTTTCACTTCGTTTGCACCCATTTGGATGCCCTTTATTTCCTTCTCTTGCCTGATTGTGTTGGCTACAACTTCCAACACTATGGTGATAGAGGACAACCTTGCCTTCTTCCAGTTCTGAGTGGAAAAGCTTCTAGTTTACTCGAGTATAATATTAGCTGTGGGTTTGTCATAGATGGCTTCAATCAGTTTTTAAAATGTGCCATCAATGCCTATATTCTTCAGAGTTCTTCTAATTGGAAAAAGATGTTGAATTTTATCGAATGCTTTTTCTGCATCTATTGAGAAGATCATATGGTCTTTGTTATTGCTTCTGTTGATATGGTGAATTATGTTTATGGATTTGTGTATGTTAAACCAGCCTGGCATCCCTGGGATAAAACCTACTTGATTGCAATGTGTGATTTTTTAATGATAAACTGTAATCTATTGGCTAGGATTTTATTGAGAATGTTTGCATCTATATTCAT